GGTACCTTAAGGAGCTGCTGATTGGCGGACCTAAGGGAACGGGCAGGTGTATATGGTTGTAGTAGCCAGCGGAGTGAAATTAAAATTGGGGTAATGTGCTCGGACTTTTTTGTTCCAGTTAAAAGACGTGCTGCAGCATTTTGCACAACCTGCAGGCGCCTAATGGACGCATCACTAACCCCAAAATAAAGTGCGTTACAATAATCCAGCCTAGAAGTAACAAAGGCATGGATTACTGTCTCAAAATGCTGTTTCGATAAGATAGGCTTTATTTTGGCTAATTCCCTCAAATTAAAAAAGCTAGATCTTACAACAGCTCTGACCTGGCTTTCAACTTTAAGATTTGCCTCTATTTTAACTCCCAGATTAGTGATGACTGGTTTAACATACTGTGCCAGCGAACCAAGATCTATAATAGTGGCCTCAGAAGCGCCACCAAAAACCATCACTTCTGTTTTCTGTTCATTAAAATGAATGAATGAATGAATAAAACAAATCACAATCAAACTATCAGTGCACAGGGTATTCTGGTGGCTGTGGCTTGTATATTAGCAGCTCAAAGAAAGCAATACTGTGTGGAGACAATACTGATATTACATCATTTTTTGACAGCAGATTTTTCAATTTTTTAAATTAAATATTTATTGAAGTATTGTGTACAGACTTTCTAAGTCTTGACAAGCAGATGTGAAATGCCTCCAATCTTCTGAGACCATGAAGTCAAGGGATTTGGCATCGAAAATGTGACTTTTTTTTCTTGAAATTTACATCTCAAACTCACCAACATACACATACACAAACCCATATATATATAAATATATATATAGACACAAACCTCGGCTGCACTGCTCATGCTCTCTATCCCCTCACTGGCTCGCACCAATAGCAAGTAACGATGTTGGTCGCTCTCGTAGTCAATAGGGCGCGTCAGGCTGATTTCACCAGTCTCTGCTGAGATGGAGAAGAGACTACTGGGATTGATAAGCAGACTGTAGCTGATTGGTTTCTTCTGGAAGGACACAGCAGGTGTTGCCAAGAAGCTGGAAAGACATGGAGAAAAAAGAACACAGTTGGCTTCATGTGCAAAACCTGCAAAATGATCAGCTGTTTGAAATAATGTATTCAAAATAGGTGTTTTTTTATGTTTGAGTGATGAATAGTTTTCCATAGATAAGGCGGCCCTTTTCCTGAAATTGCTAAGAGAGGTATTAGGAGACATACAGCTATAAAAATGCTAGTATTTGCCCCCTTTGTGATTTCTTAGTTCTTTGCATCTTTTTCACACTTACATATTTCAAATATTACAAGAAATTTTAATAGTAAATATAAAATGCAGTTTTTAAATTATGTCAGCGTATGAAGGGAAAATGCTACCCACATCATCCCACAATCTAAAGAAACTCAAGAACAGATGAGAAACTGAGTCACTTTCACTTCATCTATCAGTGAAAAAAGGGTTACAGAGTCATTTCTAAGGCTTTGGGACTCCAATGAACCACAATGAGAGCGGTTATCCACAAATGAGGAAAACTTGGAACACTGGTGAAGCTTAGCAAGAGTAACTGGGCTACCAAAATTACTCCAATAGTACATAGACGACTCAGAACAACATCTGCAGGCAGATGCAGAACCGCAGGCCTCATTTGCCTCAGTTAAGGTCAGTGTTCATGATTCAGCAATGAGAAAGATACAGGGCAAATATGGCTTCCTCGGAGAGTTCCAGTTAGAAAACCATTGCTTTGTCTGGAATTTTGCACTTTACCAAAAAACCCTGAAGGACAATTTAGCCATCGGTTTCAAAGCTCGACTGTATTCAGGTTAAGCAGCAGGAGAATGATTTGAAACACCGAGGCAAGTCCAGGTGAGAATGACTCAAAAGAATGAAACAAAACGAAGGTTTTGGAGTGATCTCGCCAAAGTCTGGACTTAAATTCCATTGAGGTGCTTTGGCATAACCTTACACAGGCCGTTCATGCTTGAAAACAATCCAACGTGGCTGAACTGAAACAATTCTGCAAAGAACAGTGGGCCAAAATTCCTCCATAATGATGTGAAAGACTCATTGCCAGTTATCACAAATGCTTGATTGCAGTTCTTGTAGCCAAGGGTGGAACAACCAGTTATTATGTTTAGGGGGTAATTACTTTTTCACACAGGGCCAGGTAGATTTGGATCTTTTCCCCCCGCTCAATATATGAAATCATCCAAAAACTGCATTCAGTATTTACTCAAGCTATCTTTGAATATTATATGTTTGATGATCCGAAACATGTAAATGTGAAAAATGTGCCAAAAATCTGGAAACAGGCAATACTTTTTCACACCACTGTATTTATTATAAATGTGCTCATTTCCCCGATGAAGGAAGAAATATGTCAGTCCCAGTAAAGAGACTGCAGATGGACCCTGAAGCCAACATAAGGACATTAGTGCTAATTTGATCAATGAAAGTCAGAACATAAGCTCTTTGTGTGCTTTTTTTATTCTTGCCTTATAGAAAATAATCAGAATATGAAAATATGTTTCTATGAGTCTTTTTTAAGCGTATTAAAAATCAAAAACTGAAATCTTTTATTTCCAGTTGTATTTTTGATCCACTGTAGTTTAGAGTCATTTGGACTCTGTTAGAGCCTGTCTGTCTCTCCCAGGTTGAAAGGGAAATGACTGAAGTGCCACCTTAAAGTCTGTCCACAGATGTTATATGGACTTGACGCATTGGACGTTTTTGGCAACTTTTTGTTAACAACAATGTAAATTTTAGACAAAAAAGAGAGTTTTGTCCATAACATTTTGAAATTATGGCAAGTATCGATCATGTTGATGAGATAGAGGTCTCAGAAACTCATGTATCGCATATGATACAAAGGGCATTACAGGGTTAAGATACCTTTAGTCCTACCCACTGCCTTAAGTTGGGTTGCAAAGCAGCTTACAGATGGACATTACCTCAAGCCAGGCTAAAGAAACATTAATCGAGAGCCTTTTATAAGTGGATGTATAGAAGGGTATTAGCTGAGAAAAGCTGATGTTGGCTGGCATCGAGATGAGCTGATCTG